AAAGAAAACATTTTATGGGTTTCATTGATATTTTCGTATACTTATACCACATAATTCTCCATCAGAATCATGTAAATTCATGCCATTGTATACAGCATTTTTTTAGCACATAGAATTAAATTTTGGCCTTTTGTAAAATTGTGTATTATTTTTGTATCAAAGTATTGTAATATCTGTACTGCGATATTCGTCTTGCATTGTTAAATCTATTTATGAACATATCTATGTAGAATCATAGGTGTTTAAGTGTAATTAACAAAAGTTCTTGATAACTCAAATTTAAGTACAGTAGATGACATTTCATGCGATCATGCTTAATTTTATCTGGATTTTGTTATCAGATTGCCAAGTCCCACTTGTATACAAAAATATGGAAAATATAATTCTATAAAATAATGTCATACACAAATCAGATAATGTTATTAAAATATCACTGAGAGAATTATTTAATTAAAAGTTGGCAAATAAAATATAAAATCACCATATAGAGTTTAGAAATTACCTAATCACGACATATCACTAAGTAAGGGATTAAGTTGCCGAGCGGCTTGATTTTGATCTAAGGCAGCCTTATACAATGGAGCCCATTTACCAAGTTTTATGAAGATCGGCTGAACTAAACTGTTTAACAGAGCAAAATTCTTGATAATCTTAAATTTTTGTGCCAAAATATCTCTTTGCCTGTTTAGCTTTACACTTTATGAATATTGTGTTTAGAAAACACTCATTATTTTATTCTGTTTAGTTATTTTTATTATGAACTCTAGAAAGAAGTTCAGTTATCTAATTCTAGGGGATAATGATGCCTTGTTAAACCCATATATGACTAACTCCCAAAAATGAGCCACCGGAATGCTGCTTTTAAGTTAAATATTTCATTCTCCATTGTATGATTCTGAAGAACCATGAGGATAATATTTGCAAATCAAAACAAATTCAAAATAAAAACATGAAATAGATGCATAGTAGGATATATCACAGTGTTCAGAACTAAAAGATTTGATTTCATATTTTTTTTTTTTTTTTTAATATATGTGAAAATGATGTAGCAGGAAAGTGAAGCCATAAAAGTTGAGAAAGGTCATTTTGTAGCAACATATGCCTGATTTTAGCCGATGGAAGAAAAGAGAAAACATTGCTTACAAACATGTTCACGATGAAGAAAAGGTGTTAATTTATCTGCTGCAAGAACATCATTGTCAACAGAATGGCCTAAATTACATACAAGGAATTATTTTGAAAACATTATAGTTTTATAAAGTATTTATATAATTCTGAAAATATTTATAGTGCCAACAAAACAGGTCTGTACTATTGTGCATTACCTCAGCATATATATTTATTTAAAATTCAGAAAAATGTAAAATATCAAAAGAATTGAAATTTCACAAGAATGTAAAATATCAAAAGATTTTGCAAGAATGTAAAAAATTGAAAGATTATATAACTGTTTTATGCTGCATCATAATGACTTTTCCTTAATTAGATTGCTCTGAAAGTATGTATGTATATGTTTCTAATTATACAATAAATTAGTTAAATTCCATTGATATTTTAAAGGTTATTTTTCTTGTTGTGCAATGTTATCAAAATAGTCATGGACAAGTGTAATCACATTAAGCAGTGCCTTTTGTGGATATTCTTATTTGAATGTGTAAATGTTCAAATTATTGTTTTGGTTTATTTAGTTATGGCAAAGGACTTAAGGTAAGGTGACCATATTTTGAAGTTTGAAATTCATGACGCCTATATACACAATTTTTAAAATATTTTTTTAACAATTGTTTTATTATTATTGTTATTGTGGTGAAGATGGTATGTAGGTCAATACACACACACACACACACACACACACATATATATATATATATATATATATGCATCAAAGTAAAGCAATTTTTGTTTTATTTTATAATAGTGATACATAATATTTTTAAATAAAAAAAGAATTAATCAAAATGTAGTATTCATCTTTAAACAAAATAATAAATTTATATAACCCTTCTAAATTATTTTGATGTGATGAAGCAGCCTTATATTTCTCTGAAGCATGAATATTTCTTAGAATATCTTTCTTGTTTTTGATCTTCTTGCAAAAGTCCATGCAATTTTCATCAAAATTTATTATGTTCATTAACATACCCTTCAAAATGCCCACTTTAAGCTGTGGCTTATCCACTAGTCCAAAAACTGTTCATAATGCTAAATATTCGCTCAGTTGCAGCATTAGAACCAGGAAGACAAAAGATAAACTCTGTCAATCTTCAAACATTTGAATAAGGAATCTGGTTCTTATTAAACTATGCAGTTATTTTCATTCAGCTCTGAACTGGACACATCTTATTTTTTTACCATTCCAATATTTTTTTCGTGATATATTGTTTGAGGTAAACAACATATTCCTCATATATACATATATATAGATAGATATATCAATTTCCAATAATTTATGATTTTGTGCCATTTTATTAATTAACAAAATGGCTGTTTCAACTTGACTCCAAGGAAGGATTTCATTTGATATGATCCAGCTATATATATCCATCTACTCCATCCATATAAGGGCAATCTTATAAAATGAAACAATAGCTTCTCAAAATTCAATAACTTTGTATTGTGATATGTCTCCATTCTCTTTTCTTAAGATTTTTTAACATTTATTGGAATAAAGTTATCCTCTGTCTTGTTCAATATTGAAGCTTTGAGAGCATTTGTTGAAGCAATTACATCAAATATGGATGCAATTTTATTTTCAGTTGTAATAACTTTACGAAATATTGCAGCCTGAGTTCATTGCTGGCTACATTTTCTTATAAAATGTAGCTAAGCTTCTGCCACTGGATTTTCAAAGAATTTTAAAATAAGTATGGGATACTTTTCCTGGGAGTGAAAATAAGTCTTCAGTGGTAGAAACATCTGGAGTACCCTTTCAATGGCTGGATGTAATGCTAGCCATCTTGTTTGTGAATATCTTAGTATATATCTTGTGATTGAAAATTGGTTTCTATAAAGTTACCGAAATTTTTCAATGTTTCTGCTCTAACAGTATAAGATTTAATTTTTAGTATATCTTAGAAATAACCATTTCTGTATCAAATGGCAAAACATCAGGTGATATTCTTATAGTGTTATGAATAATATGTGCTGCACATCTAACTGCAATTAAACCACAGTTAAAGTTTCATTTCAGTTCCAGAAAAACATTATTTTCTCCATGTCTATCAGCTCCTTCAAAATTAGAAATCGTGTTATCGGCACAAAGACAATAATTTTTTCTTTTAAATTATTTTCTTCAAGACAGATAGTTAAATAGTTGCTGACAATATTGAAATTTCACTAGGGATTTACATTCTAAAATTTTTACTCTAACACCTTAACTCTAGTCTATAAATCTAACAAGTATTGGAAAAAGTTTTATTTTCTTGTGATTGAATGCATCAGTTAAGACTGAAACAAATGAATATTTTTCCAAATCATTGTGCAAAGCTCTTAAAGCCTAAGGCAGGAAAACTTTTATTTAGTATTATTGCTTTGGCCTTGGTTTGTGCACATGTAAATTTAAGCTCAAATGCCACTTGAAGCAGCTTGGACGTACAATCCGTAGACCTGAAAGTTATGGTTGTGGCAAATACGATATGCAAAAGTACTTCTACTGCAGCTACAGCCTTTTTCTCCTGTTTGAAGAAATTCTGTAACGATGAGCTAGCAGCAGCAGCAGAATTTGACATTTTATGTTTATTACTGTTTATATGAAGTTTAATATCTGTATGTCCACCATCACTTGTTGAAAATTTTGAAGAACATGCATTGCACCATGCATCAGAATCACTTATAGTTTTTTCAATAAAAGGGTATTCCTTCTGTAGATCTTCGTTAAGTGCACACTTTCTGTTTTTCTGAACCCATTACTAAAAAATCAGTGGGAAAAATAAATAATTAATTTAATTAAGCTGCTGTAAAACATACCTTTAGCACTTATGTAATGCACCGCTGATAAATAAGAAATGTATGTAGTTGGAAAATGTCGTTACACATCATTGTTTTGGCAGATTATTTTTTCAGAATTTTTTAATCCTTACTCAAAATCAAAATAACAATGGAGTAAATATTTTACGATCTAAACCTGAAAAAAGAAAGACAATTTTATATGGATATATCTACAGTGAAATTTCAGCAGATTACAAAAGAATTATTTTTGGATGCCATGTAATAACGTGTAAGGGGATGATACATATTAAAGTATGTAATGCACCGTGTAATAGGTATATAATGCACTGTTGATAATTTTTAAATGTATATATTATAAATTGAAATCACAAGTAAATTAATATATCAATTAAAAATTGCAATGCTATCTGTAAGTGAAAGTCTGAACTGCAACTGTGAGCAAAAATTCATTGCATGCTCGGTCTATACCTTGTGTGTCCATTAAAACTTTTACATTTTTATACGACTGTTTTTGAGACCAAAAAAAGGGGTAAAAAGTAGGGACGGGGGCTGAAAACTCAGGCCTGTCCTGCGAAATGTGGGACGTATGGTCACCTTACTTGAAAGCTATCTGCCTAAGGAAAGGATACCTTTATGGAGAACTTTCTAAGGAAGACTAGCTTGTATAGATGCTACACATGAGAAAAACCATGAAAACACCCATGCATCCTTCACACTTTCTGGGATTCGAACACTTGCCTAAACTACCAGTGTTTAGTGACTTTACCACTCAGCCTATTTTGGGCAAATATTCAAATAAGCAAGACAAAAATACTGAACATAGCATAATATATGAGCCAATAATAATGAAAATGGATTCAATGAGAATAAAACTAATTAAATCAGTGGTTAAAAATGTTATTTTTCATATGTTTTTGTGTTATATATATATATATGAAAATTAATAAGATTTCATGAATTTTAACATCAAAAAATGCTTTTTAAGAATTTGGTAAAGAAGTCTGTGTTACTAATTCAGAAAACTATTTTAATTTCTTTTACATAAATTGTAGGTCACAACAAGAATTTTGTGTTCAGCCACTCCCATAGTATATTGGATTTCAGCAATGGCTGTTCTACCAAACAGTGAGAGAGCAAGAATGAAGCTGATGAAAGATTATAAAGATTATTCATATCAAGGGTTTCTAGCTGCTAATATGCACTTCATAAAGAAAATTTATATGCATTCAACTTTTTATGGGAAATTCATTTTCTGGTATTTTATGTGTTACTTTTTTATTGGTATTTCCCTTCATGTTAATTTCTTTCCATGGACATAAAGATGTAATTTTTTTTAAATAATAGAAATCATAGATGTAAATTAATTTCAATTCAAATGCTTCTCTGTATTTTGTACTGAAAAACAGAATACTGCACAACAAAGAGTATGCATAATACATGTTATAATTGTTTGTATCATTAGTTATTTAATTCACATCATTAATTCACATCAACAAGAAGTTTGCAATTCAAATTTTTGAAATATGAATGCCAAAACAGGCTTATCATTGTAGCCCCTGATTTGAGGTCTACAAAAATAAACATGATTTAGCCAGTTGTTTTGGATTACGGCAAAGGATTTCGATTAATGTGCCTTGAACTACTACTTTGTTTTGGTTTTTTATCCAATCTATTAATGCTTGGCAATCTGAATCTGATTTAAATCCAGGTGGTTGTTCCATATAAATTGGTTTATTCAAGTATCCATTTAAATATGCAGTTTTTACATCAAAAATCTTATTTTGTAGTTTTTGTAAACAACGTAATTTTCTTATTGATGGATCTTTCAACTAATTTCAGGATTTCATGAGCCTCCATTGAACTTAGTTCTTCTATCATTTCATACATCATACTACATAATCTTTTTTCATTGTTCTCGCTTTTCTTTTCTTCTGCTTTAGTTTTGGTAAAAATTACTTTTAAATTATGATCTACAATTTGTTTATCTTAAAGCTTATCTAATTGAAGCCATATCTTTCTCTTTATTGGATATTTTATTTATTTTATATGTGGAAATGTTCACCTTTGGAAAGGGTATATACTTTTTCGCGATCAGGTAATTTCATATAAATATCCATGGCTCAATTATGCACAGTTTACAAATACTAATTATTTAACTTTAAAATTACGTAAAAAATTCACCAAAATTCCAGAATTATTTAATTTACTCATTTTTCTTTTTTGGTCATTGGTTTCCTTTAAATTGTTATTTTTAACCTTACAGTAATTATTCAGCAATATATTGGAAATGCATGTGGCACAACTTTTCAACAAATCATGCCATGATTTGCCACACTCACAAATACTATCATCCCAAATAATTCTGTTTTCAACTTTCTCTGTGATGAGACTTATTAATATAGAACGTTTATTTTTTGATGAAATATATAATTTCTCATACATTTCAGATATTAGGATTGAAAGTATTTTAAATGGAGAGGTATTAATGAAAAGCACAAATTCTGTTGGCCAAAATAAAATCAATAGCAGCTAAGTATGCAAAATCTTCACAATATTCAACTATTAATTCTTTGTCAAGAATTAATTTTTTCCTGCAAAGATTACAATTTATATGCTTCAATACGGATCTACAAACATATCCAGAAATGTAAATTAGACACATTATATCTTTTTCTGTAACATTAACATCATTGGATTGATGCAAAACATCAACAAATTCTGGTACTTTTCCGTTTCGACGGCGCAAACGTCGCCATTTTTTTTTCTCCGGCGCAAATCTCGTCAAGCAGACTTTATTGGCGACAACACATAGTATACACATAAAAAAATGTTAATTCTAAGAATTTATTATTATTTTTTTATTTTGGAGGCATAAATATTTTAATATCGTTTAGAATTTTTTCAAATGGGTCTTTTGTGTCCTTTCGCCACATAAATTCGGTGAGGTAACTTTCTAGATGATGCCGAGCAGTTCCTCTGTGTTTCTTATTCCGCCATTTTGCGCTTCCCCATAGTCTCAATTTTTTGCGTGTGCGTCAATTTTATGCAGTTTACGGATCTACAAAATTGTATTTATGGTTCACTTTGAAATGTTCGAAACTTTCCTCTTCCAGTTTTTCAGTGCAATATGATTTCCATGAATTGGAATATATTGTAGTTCCTATTTCGATGTTTTCATTTATTGCTTCTAATAAAATACTCATGGATCAGTTTGGCACCATCACAAGGAAACATTCGTTTGTTTCACGACAAATTCCACCAAAGATCCACAGTTGTGGTAAAATCCGTCCCGCGTTGTTTTTGCGCTTCGTGAACATACTTTCACCCATTTCAACGATCATACCAGGGCCTCCTATTTTGCGTTGTTGATGTTTAAGTAAAGAATCCACACAAACCTCTCGCATGTAGTTATTCCAATACACAAGTGTTCCGTGACTGATTTCCAACTGCTTTTCACACCATTTAACTGAAGTTAATTCTTCACTCCAACCATAGATAAATCTTAAACACTTCAAGAAACTCAATCTCGATGATTCAAACACATGTGCCTTTCCGTATACTTTTACTGCTTTACTGCGGCAAGTTGAAAGGTTGCAACGCCATTGAATTTCGTCTCAAATATAATTTCATTTCATGATTATTTTCACAAATAGCAATGTTAGGCAAAACGCCTTTCGCTTGAAAGAATCTGACGGATTCTTCCTCTGTCCTGGGCAAATCCCAAATTTTCATTGGTTTTTCATCCATTTTTGACATATTTATTTGTAAAAGACGTTAATTTAAGAATTTAAAGACTTTAAATTAAAGATTTACTATGCTTTCATGGTATAACCTCTTGATTCGCCGATTAATATCACGTGATCCCAAACGATCTCATCTCACGTAAAATACGCTACAAAAATCTGATTCTCTCAGGAATTATCTACATTAATTTCAAGTTAAATCTCAGTATGGAATACGAGTTTAAATGCAAGAATTATTTCAATATTATAATTAAAAAAATTCTATGTAACTGTATGCCAATATTGAAAAAAAAAAAAGGTAAATCTGATAATAAATCTCAGCGACTTGTTTTGAAAAAGTGCTGTGAAAGGTTATCAGAGAAGATATTCGCTTTGGCATCAGTTCTACTATTTCCGGCGACTTTATCGATTGCGCCGGCCAAACGGAAAAGTATGCAAATTCCTTATCAATAAGTTGATAATCATTAAAATCTTCAATATCATTACAAGAAAAATGTTGTAAAATAAATGAACCTTTCTCAGAAGACTGCATTTTAAGCAAACTAATTAATTTTAGTTTTCTTTCCGACTCTATAATCTGCTGTAAGAATACATTATAATTACAGCCACTCATTTGTCGAAATTGACCGAAACGTTCCTCAAGGTTATCTGTCTGGAATTTTCCTAAAAGAATAAAAGGTAATTTAAATTCTTTTAACAAATACTTTGAAAGTTCATTCAATGTTGCTGTTGTATGGAGAAGAGCAACTTGGGTTTCTTTTGACAGTTTCCCAATTTGTGACTTACAGTTTTTTGTTGTTGGGCAAAAATCGGGTGCTACTTTGGTAGACGGTTGCACGGATTTTTGGCAATTTACGTTGGCGCGATTTTTACAATCGTCAGCCATTTTGAAAAACGCTGTTTTTACGCATAGTAAAGTATTCGAAACTTCAAAAAAAAAAAAAATAATAATAATAAATATCGTTAAAAGTAATAGATTAATTTTTTGTTGAAAATGTCGTTTTTTAAGATGGCAGGCAAGGGTAAATAAATACATTTACTATGAGTATAAAGTACTAAAGTAAGGCTATTATTACTTTCTTATAGCAAAAAAGAGAATAAAAACACCGCTATGAAAACATTGTGCCAACGTTTAATTAGATTAAAATATTACTGAAATTGAATATCGAATTAAAAACCATCCTACCAACATTTAAAAGAATTAGAATATTATTAAATTCAAATACTTTTAAAATACGTTATATAAAATATTATTAACATTAAAACATATGTGACAATAATTATCTTAGAATTTTGAAAATGGATAATTTTAACAAATTGTAGAAATAAAGAAAAGTTGCTTTTGAGTTAACTTTTTTATATACACAAAAAAATCGAATCTATAGGCATAACCATTTTTGTACCAAATCTGCAGGGTAGAAGTAACGAGAAATTGTGTACCCGTATGTATTCGTTACTCGGTGAACCAGTACTCGTTACTTTCGGTAAAATCGATCGGTATCCGTATACTGAGCCTATTTTATCGGTCTACGGCCCTAAAAAGGGCTTTGAAACGTCACATTGCATTGAATCACGTGAGCTATTCTAGTTTTCCGTCGCCCTTTTTTGGGGTAGAAATAATTCACTTTATTTTGGCTATTATTTTTTGGTGCACTGGATATGATTCATTATTAAATTTTCTATTGCTGTCAGGGCTTAGTTTCTAAAGTCAGAAGGGCCTACGGAAGGCCGTCAGGAAAACAGGAAAAAATAAAAAAAAATAAAGAAGAAAGGAAATAAATATTACAATAATAACATTAATTAGTAATTAAAATAACAAAAAAATTACTTATTAAAAAACTTAATAATTAAAATAAAAAAAATAGTGATTAAAATAATGAATAATTAAAGTAACATAATAATTAGCAACTGAAATATAAAATACTTATAAGTACAATTTAATAAAAATGTAAAAACAAATAAAATTTTTAAATTTATGATGACTAATTAAATAATAAAGTAAAATACCAGATCTTGTCTTATTGGCTTAGTATCGTTTTCGTCCTTTCTCATTTCATCCCCAGCTCGAAAAAGTGTTATTTCGTTCGCTGCCTTCCCCCACCAATTCCCTCTTTCCCGTTTCATCCGCTGTTTGAAAAATAGGTGTTTACTTTACGATAAGGCGAACGTCTGTTTACTTCAATTAAAATGGTTTTAGAAGAGATGACTGTTTCTACTTCGACTTAGCTTTTTTTGATTTATTTAATATTTTATGCAGACAAATTATGTTGAGCAGAATAATGAATTTCAGACGTGTTCAAAAGGTGTGTATCTGAATATAATAACATTTTTGTTGTATAGTATCCATTTTTTTAATTTCACACATTTCTAAAGCAACAGAAGTACGTTATCACTATTTTGGCACACACATCAAAAACATGTATAATTAAGATTAATGTTACATTCCTTATTAAAAGTAATGGGTCCTTCATTAAATGCAACCATTCATGCTTTTAGAGGATTTTACATGTGGTGGTCTTAAAAAGATGATGTTCACTACCAATGTTTGTTTATGTTCCCAAAAATAGAGATCTCTTAAAAGGTGACCTCTTAGAGATGTCGTAAATAGATGATTTGCTATA